TATTTTAATAGTTAAAAATTAAATCTTAAAAATTTACAATGAATAATCTGGCTTATCAAAAAAATTTTTTTTTTCTTCTATTATGAATGTGGATAATTGTTAAAGTACATATGAATGACAAATTAAAGTCAAAATAAAGTGGTGCTCTTTGTTTGACTTTTATAATTAAGAATTAATAATTAAAAAAATTATTAAATGATGTAAATAATTCAATGATTTTTTTTTTTTTAAATTAGAGATCCTAAATTTGAGTTATAGGACATGTGAGTAGAACTGAATAAGAGGATAAAAGATAGTTGTTTTTCGTACCATCAATATATATATAAAAAAAAGTAATTAGCGAAATTAATGAGGGTGATTATTGCATGCAGTTGATACAATGGCAAACTACGGACGTACCAAACCTTCCCGGTGAAATAGCTTTGTTGGGCGGACTATTGCTCTGGATCGCAACCCTCCCCCGCATCCGGCGAAAAGCCTTCGAGCTCTTCTTCTACACACATAACCTGTACATAATCTTCGTGGTTTTCTTCTTCCTTCACGTCGGAATCAATTACACCGTCATCATGCTCCCCGGATTTTACCTCTTCATGATTGACCGTTTCTTAAGATTCTTACAGTCACAACGAAAAGTTCGTCTAGTCTCTGCTCGACTCTTACCTTGTGACACTGTGGAGCTTAACTTCTCCAAAAGTCCAGGTATCTATTAAGATGTTTTAGTATTTAAAATGTTATCATTGTATGTGAAATTATTCAAATATTGATTAATTATATTTTTTACATTTTAATTACCAAGTTGTCATGATTTTTATGTTTATGTTGGATTTTTTCTCGAGTTGAATTAATTTGTTTTTCCTGTTAAACTAGATTTGAGTTACAATCCAACAAGCATTATGTTCGTAAATGTGCCTGGAGTTTCCAATCTGCAATGGCATCCCTTTACAGTTACTTCAAGCAGTAAATTGGAACCAGAAAGGATAAGTGTGGTGATTAAAGTTGAAGGAACTTGGTCAAGGAAGCTCTATGATTTGATTTCATCTTCTTCCATAGATCGTGTTGAAGCCGCCATTGAAGGTCCTTATGGACCTGCCACTACAGAGTTCCTAAGGTCTGTAATAAACTCTTTATATTAGAGATCAATATTATTTTCACATGGTATTAGAGCCAGCTTAACTAATCATGACAAGTACTACTGTTTTTTAGCCATGATAAGCTGGTAATGGTGAGCGGAGGCAGTGGAATTACTCCCTTTATATCCATAATTCGAGATCTCTGTTTCTTGAGCAAAACAACTCAATGCAGGATTCCGAAGCTCATGCTCATATGTGCCTTCAGGAAGTCTTCGGATCTCAGCTGGTTAGACCTTCTGATGCCAATTTCCGATACCTCATCTGGACTTTCCAATCTCCAGCTGCAGATTGAAGTCTACATAACTAGAGACAAAGCACCCAAAACAAATAATCCAAACCAGGTTCGATCCGTATGGTTCAAGCCCCACCCAACGGATGCACCAGTCTCTGCCATCTTGGGTCCAAATAGCTGGCTCTGGCTTGCCATTGTCATCTCATCTTCATTCATCATCTTCCTCATCTTGATCGGAATCATCACCAGATATTATATTTACCCAATTGACAAGAACAAAAATCTGTACAATTACTCAGGAAAGGCTGCACTAAATATGCTGTTTATCTGTGTTTCCATTGCTGCAGCAGCCAGTGCAGCAGTGTTTCTGAATAGGAGGAAAGAATCGAAAAAGATTCAGAACACTGAAGGATCATCACAGGAGGGAACACCCGGATCGTCGTTACATAATGCTGATAGAGAACTAGAGTGCCTCCCACGACAATCAATTTGGGATGCTACTAACGTTCACTACGGGGAGAGACCTGACCTAAAGAGTAAGTTCATGTTTTGTTCATCTTAATTTCCTATTATACAACATCTACATTCTAAATTTTTACTCTCTTTTTTTGATGGGTTGGGTGAAGGGGCGCTGCTCGAGTGTGAAGAATCGAGTGTCGGAGTTCTTGCTTCTGGACCAAAAAAGCTGAGACATGAAGTGGCAAACATCTGTTCCACTGGTCGGTCCGATAATTTCCATTTTGAGTCTATCAGTTTCAGCTGGTGAGAAGTTCTTCAATCTCCACTATAAAAGCTTGAAATTCAGAATGACCGAAGAGAGAAGGTTTCAGATATATATATATATATATATATATATATATATATATAAAAAAAAGTAATTAGCGAAATTAATGAGGGTGATTATTGCATGCAGTTGATACAATGGCAAACTACAGACGTACCAAACCTTCCCGGTGAAATAGCTTTGTTGGGCGGACTATTGCTCTGGATCGCAACCCTTCCCCGCATCCGGCGAAAAGCCTTCGAGCT